TGCCGCCCTGGATCGAGTACCGGCACCACCGCCCGCCCTACACCAACGTGAGCCCCGGCGGGGCGGGAGGGCAGGGCGGGGAGCTCTCCGGGACCCCGGGGGAGGGGACCCCCGGCTCACGGGCTCTGTCCCCCACAGCTGCACGTCCCCTACTCGGAGCACTTCAGGCTGGAGCCGCTGCGGCGGTACCACCGCGTGGTCAGCCTGGAGCAGTTCATGGAGCAGCTGGCGCCCCGGCACTGGCCGCCCGGCAGGAGAGTGGCTTATTGCTTCGAGGCTGCTGCCCAGAGGAGCGCGGACAAAAGCACGTGTCCCATGAAGGTGAGTTCCTCCTCAGCCCCGCGGGCACGGCTTTATTCCAAAGGCCCTGACTGACTCATTCAGGTCGCCATTGATTTGCAAATTTGCCACACCGGTCTATGTGGCGTTGCTTTCACCACTGGTTTTCTTTGTCTACAAGTGCTTGAGCATCCGGCTTACAATTATCACTTCAGATTTAATTGAGACAGTAGCTTATCTCCTGTTCTCTGTTTTCCAGCTAGTATTAAAGCAACCTCTCTTAACTAGAAGTTTCGAAGAGACAACCTTTGCAACCTTCTCAGTGAACTGCCCTTAATGTATTTCCCCGTCTCCTTCCTGTGGAGCTGGTGTGTCAAACAGGCTATTCCAGCTGCTTCCATCCTGGAATAGATTTCTGCTTTGCTCTTCAGGATCTTGCTACATCCATCTTTCAAGGCTCTGTGTGTGCACTAAATGAACACTTATTTTTCTTTGCAGGATGGAAATCCGTTTGGTCCCTTCTGGGATCAGTTCCAAGTGGATTTTGATAAGTCTGAACTCTTCAAGGGCATTTCCTTCAGTCCTGCATACAAGGACCATTGGATCCAAAGGTAGCAAAAAGATGGAAAAGTGCTGGCAGGTCATTGTGGGCATTTAGAGTCATTCATGAAAGCAGCTGGGACTTTACATTTTGGGGGACAGATTGAGGTGGTTAGTTATATAGTTAAAAATATTAATGCTTTTTCTATTAAATATTTGCTGAGCATTTCATGTGGGCATTATTTTAGGTATGAACACTGTTTAGGCTGATTGACTTCTGAGCCAGGAATATTTAATTTATCAAGTATTTATTAAATATGTAATTATTCATCAAAAGATAATTTGGTTCTCATTTGGGGGTTATGAACTGTATTTGGCTGCTTACCTTGTGTTTTCAGAACCATGAGTGACTTTAGTGGCTGTCAGTAAGTTTGAGTGACAGAATTGTTCTAGTTTGGGCTGAAAATGTAACATGAAGAGCTTGGTAGCTCCTTACTGCATATTTGAGGCTCTTATTGTCTGTCAGATAAAAAGTCTGAGGTAAAATACAGCCCCTGAGACTTCTTCAGTTCAGATGGCAAACCAGCTAAAATTATCTCAGTTTGGAGCAATAAATGCTGCATTTTTTGGGGTGTTCCTGATTTCTCCTCTAACCTTCACAGCAGCCTTCGTGCAGGTTAGGTCACATTTCACACTGCTGGGGTTTGGTTTTCTGTAGGTTTCCAGCCTCTGAGCACCCTGTTCTCGCCTTACCTGGAGCTCCAGCCCAGTTTCCTGTCCTGGAGGAGCACCGTCCCCTGCAGAAGTACATGGAGTGGTCGGATGCAATGGTGAAGAAGGGAGAAGACTACATCCAGTCCCTGCTGCTCCGGCCCTACGTGGGAATTCACCTGAGGATCGGCTCCGACTGGGTACGGCAGCAGCTGGGGGCTGGTGACGATGGGATGTGGACAAAGCTGCTCAAAAAGGAGCCATGCTGGGAGAGCCACCTGATCCCTGCTGGCATCCAGGAGCTCCCTGTGTGTTAGCAGTGGTGCTGGGATTCTTTCAGACAGGCAGAGGCAGGGGACCTGGTGGGGTTTTCTCACGTGAATGTGGTACGAAAAAAAACAAAAAAATGTTCTGGTGAGGTGGGTTTCAGCCTCTCCTCCCAGGGACAGAACAAAGGGAAATGGCCTCAGGTTGCATCAGGGGAGGTACAGGTTGAATATTAGGGGAAAATTCTTGACTGAAAGAGTGTTTGAGCACTGCCCCAGCCTGCCCAGGGCTGTGGTGGAATTGCCATTCCTGGAAGTATCCAGAACATAAGTAGAGGTGGTGCTTTCTGATAAGGTTTAGTTGGCACGGGGTATCTATTCAAAGTTTGGAGTTGATAATCTCAGAGGTCTTCAGCTTTGATGATTCTGTGATTCTCTTTTCCTCTTCCAATAGAAAAATGCCTGCAACATGTTAAAGGATGGGACAGCTGGGCCACACTTCATGGCTTCACCGCAGTGTGTGGGCTACGACCGCAGTGCCGCGGTGCCTCTCACCATGGACATGTGCCTGCCAGACCTCCGAGAGATCAAACGGGCTCTCAAGCTCTGGGTGGCGAAGATTGAAGCTAAATCGGTTTATATTGCTACTGATTCCGAGCCCTACACAACAGAAATACAGCAGTTCTTCCAGGAAAAGGTGAGTCTTCCAGAAACCTCTTCTGGCAGGAATGCTTGGATAAAAATCTTCCTTGGCTTTTGGCCCGAGGCAGTCATGGATAGCAGACCAGCAGTTGTGGAATAGGTTATTCACAGCCAAATATTGGCATCTCAAAGTGAATTTGGCTCATAGCAATAAAAATTATCCTGTAAAATTCTTTGTTTTTCCCCAGGAGATTGAAGAGCATTGTCTGGCATGGTAGTAAATATTTCCATGAAAAGGGTTTAAATTAAATAAACCTAAGTGATTTTCAGAAATGCTCTGACATTGATCTAATCATAAATGAGTTACAGGGCAGAGAAAGACAAAACTCATTCTCTTTCTGTTGTATATTCCATTTCTAATATTATGCCAAGACATTGGATTGTGATAATAGCTGACTGGATTTATCTGCTCTCCTTGTTTCTCTGCAGCTCAAGGTTGTCAGCTTGCAGCCAGAAGTGCCTCAGGTTGATCTGTACATCCTTGGCCAGTCTGACCACTTCATCGGGAACTGTGTCTCTTCCTTCACTGCCTTTGTGAAAAGAGAACGGGACATCCATGGGAAACCCTCCTCGTTTTTTGGCATGGACCACCCACCGAGGCTGCGGGATGAGTTCTGACCAGAGGAGGAAGAGGCTCTGTGGTTCCAGGGCTCTGAGCTGGGTCTTTGGTGCTGCAGCATTCCCTGTGGGCAGTCATTGCTGGGCTGTGGGAGAGCTTCTGCCCTCCAATGCTCCTCACAGTCCCTTCCAGACTGCTCTGTCTGATCTCTCCTGTGTTTCCAGTGTGAGCTCAGATAGAAATTTAAATCATGTAGTTTATAGGAAACTATAAACTATATATAGTTTTTTAAGATGTAGCTTTTATAGCTCTCCATTCTCACTACTTGGGATTCACCAGCAATCATAATGAAGCAGCTGCTCAGATTTCCTCCTCTTTTCTTCCTCTGTTAATTCTAAATTCTCACCTGGAGATGTTTTGAAGCCTCATGTCCAAAACTGACCATAATTGGTTCTCTTTGAGTGTAAAACTTCTGTCAGGCGTATCAAGTTCCCTGGAAGGGGCATGCAAGGTGAAGCTCAGGACTGAAAAGCTCTGGGGTTTATCAAGGACCACAATTTTCTTACCAGACTTGTGTCACCACAGTGTCTCAGTGTCCCTTCTCCTGTCCAAAGAAATTCCATCCCCCGTGCTGTGGGAGTCTGGATCTCTTTGGTGCTGCTGGAGGAGTGCAGTGGGACATGGCAGCTGTCTGTTCAGCTTGTCTGCATCAGCCTGGGGCAGGGTGTGTGCAGGGACATGGGAGGAGATCTGTCACAGCCAGGCGAGGACTGGAGATTGAGGGCTCGTAGCTTTGTAGCTCTTTATGTCAGTGAGGTCTGTGGGAAGAGAAACTTTGAGCCAAAGTTATCAAAATAGCTGTAGTGGGGTTGGGTATGTCATACCTGGGTCTATGGTATTGTTTTGTTTTTGTACTTTATAAGATGGCCCTTCTGAGAGCATTATCCTTGTCTGGGGCAGTTCTCAGTGGAGGTAATTCTGGAAAATTATTCATTGATGGGGAAGCAACAGCCCAAACCCCTGTGTTTGGCCTGGTGTAGTTTGATGCTGGTAACACTGATAATCCAACATGGTGAGGCTCAACTTGATCAACTTTTGGTGCTTCTGTAATTTCATTTTCTGGTCCAAAGACTTGAGTACAGAATGGTTCATTTTTCAAAAATGCCACTTGGGTGAGTCTGTGGTACCAGAGCTGCTGCCTCCAGTGTACTGCTGCAGTCCAGCCAAGGCTGTCATGAACATTTAATTTCAAAAGTCTCTTTTTATGGTGGTCTTTTCCTCCTTGAAATGTTTCTGAGCTTTGAAGGAGTTTGAGGGCTCAGGGGAGAGAGCAAAATGAGAAGGTCCTCAGTTGTCAGGGTGGCAAAAACTCATCTCGTTTCCTCAGGGCTGGCTTCAAAAATCATGGGATTTGGGGGAAAATTATCCATTTTAGGGCCTTTGGAAGCTGGGCTTTTGAAGACTGAATCTCCTTGTGTCACACAGTTTACTGATCTTGGGTGATGCCCTTGGGGCTGCCTTGCCTTGCTGTGGAGCAGGGGAAGCCTTTCTCCACACTGTTGGGAAGACAAAGTATTAAAACAAAATGTTGGGTTGGGTTTTTTTTTTTAATAAGGTATTTTTTGTACTAATAAAAACTTGATTTTTTATTCACTCGTAGTGCACCAACATTCCTTCCTCCATTGCAGGAGCCTCTTGTAGCAGAACTGCAGCCTGCACTGCACTGCTGCGATCCAGACAGCTCTGATTAAGGGGCTTTAACTCCGAATTGTCTTTTTTATGGTGGTCTTTTTCTCCTTGGAAATACTCCGGAGCTTTGGAGGGTTTTAAAACGCGCAGTCTGGCTGGGGCAAAACGCGGTATTTTCGGGACTGGCGGCGTGCGGGCTGCCCGCGGCGGGGCCCCTTTGTCCCGGCCGCATCCGGGAGCGGCGGCGCGGGGCGGGCGCTCCGGTTGCCGGGGAAGCGCGTCACGGGCGGGCGGAGCGGCCGCGCCGCTTCCGGGGCCGCGGCAGGAGCGGCCGGGCGGCTCCATGGTGACGGCGCAGGTGAGTCCGGCCCGGCCCCGCACCCCGCCCCGAGCATCCCCAAGCGCCCCGGGCTGGCACACCGCCGGCAGCCCGGTGCTCCCGGTGCCCCCGGTGCTCCCGGTGCGGCCGCGGGCACGGCCCGGACCGCGCTGCGGCGGCAGGACCCGCCCGCGGCCGCGCTGCGGGGGCGATGCCGCGGGCGGGTGGCCCCGTTCCGGTGGGTGTCCCCCGCTCCCGGTGCTTCTCCCACGCGGTCCTGCCCCCTCCCCACCGGCGCTGGCCCCGGGCTCCCTTCCCTGCAGCGCCCGGTGTGGGTGATGCTCGCTCGGGTGAATCCGCCAACGAGCCCGCGGTCCCGGCTCCCCGGGGCAGGCAGCGCCCGTGGGGTGCCGTGCTGGGGCGGCAGAGGTGACCACAGGTGACCCCGAGTGAAATCAGGGCCCGCAGGTGGCACCGCCGGCCCGACCTGGCAGGGAGGCGAGAGGAAAACAGCAGCACCAAGGGTGGTTTGGCTTGGGACGGAGGGAAGGACGTAATTCAACCGTGACATTATGAAACCACAAATATTTGAAAGATTTGAATGGCGAGAAGCAATGGAATGTTTTCAGTGGTACCTCGGGATGTGCAGAGATGCAAGGGAAGGGTTTGGGCAGTTCCAAGAAAATCTTTCAGAGATATTTAAGGCAGGAAGCAGTGCAGCTTCGGGATGTCACCTGTCAGGGCAGGTGGCTGGGTGAGCACAGTGCCTGGGGTACAGCTGTCCAAGATAGCACCTCCCAGTCCTGGAAGTTTCTGAGGAAAAGTGGTTGCCCCAGCTTGTATTCAGGTTGTGGTATTGCTCATTTTTTCAGGCATTACCTTTGTGTTGACTGAAATAAATAAAAATGCTTCAATTTTTGCCCATCCTCCCCTCTTGGTCATCAGGGGCACATTTGAAAGTGCATCCATCTCAGCCTTGACCTTGACCTTGACTTCCAGAGACCTGGTGCAGATCACTTTAGGCTGAACTAATTTAATGAAAAAATTCCCATATTTGATGGAGAAGGATGGGTGGCATGGCAGCATTCCCAACTTTCTTGCCATTCATGTCCAGCCACTCTGGCAGTTCAAACATTGCCCAGGAGTTTCTGGGGAATACAAACACTGCCAACTAATTGGTTTTATTTTCCAGTTACACACTTGGATAAATCTGAGAAGAACCATAATTTGTTATGCTTCCAGTAAACTTCACTGCAGTAGATAAAATAATTGGAGGTTATTCAGGATGGGTTGATATGAAAATAGCCCACATCAGGGGTAAAATCAGTTGTTTGTGACTATAAAAAGAGGCTTGCAAGTGAAGTGGGGAAAGGTGTCAAAAGCTGATGGTGAGGAGGTACACCCAGAGGAGCAGCAAATGTGCAACATAATTTCAGTTCAAGGTGTACTCTGGCAAGACTAACTTAACTCTGATAATTTAATATTTGTCATAGTTGCTTACAAAAGGGGCACTTCTCATCAGAATAGTATTTTAGATATTCAATATATAAAATAAATCCTTGTCACAACTTGTGCCTAATTCGAGTATTTGCCAGTGTGAACATGCAGATACGTGACACAGTGGTTGTCATGTGACCTTGTCAGAAAATTGTCTCTTGTGAACTTGAATTACTGGAATGTCTCTCAGAGCTGTGGAAGGGGAAGCGTGTGTTAATGTATACAACTCCTCAGGATGAACAGAGGGACAGTTGTTCTTTGTGATTCTGCCAAGATTTGTCCTCGTTTCACTTATTCTTTCTGTGTTTGTGCTCCAGAATTCATGTTTGCTGTGGGTCAGACAGGAAGGTCACCTTTATCTGGAGCTGTCAATTAGGAGGGAAATGGTTTTATTCAGTAGCTTCCCAAAATTCCTGTAACAGTTTGAACTCACTGTGCAGGGTGTGGAGTGAATTCTGAATGAGTGTCCAGTTCAGTGCTTTTATAGGAAGAGTGAGAAGCACTTCCCCCACAGACCCAAGGAAATTCCCAAGGCCATCTTGAGGTTTCTGTACAATTCTTAACCATGTTTATCTGTTACTTCTCTTTTACTTTTTGCCAGTCTGACTGTATATTGAGCAGGAATTGTGCTTCCTTTTCCATTCAATAGCTCCAGCCCTGCAGTTCTCTGCCACCTTGTTGGAGAAGCTCTCCTGAGACATGCAATTATCAAGTGAAAAACAATTAGACAAAAATTCCTGTTTCCTGCTGATCCAGCTGGGAAGGGAACAGTGAACACATTCCAAGGAGGCCACACCTGAACCTGTGCCAGCATTGCCTGGGCTTCCCTGTGTGTATTAGTTTTACGCTTAGTTCTAGTTGGCAGAGGGACCTCAGGGCTCTTCTTGGAAGACATTTTGGAAATAAAAAGGGTTCTTAGAAATTGCATGGCATTCCAAGTTGTGCCATTGAGATCTGCCATGTGAGGGTTTAGCAGTGACTGTTTCAGCAGTTTAGGAGCACAGGCTTTTTGCTCCGTTTTCAATGGCAGCTCATCTTGCTGATGACTGGAGGATGCACCAGTGTGTGTCCTCCCTCTCTACCCAGAGTCATGAACGAGTTGGATCTGTGATCTGGGTTTATGCAACATGGATTTAGGTTGCAGGTGAGTCTTGTAAACCTGATGCAGCTGGAACACCAGAGCAGGAGTGATGTCAGTAGGTCAGCCTAGCTGAGCAGGGCTGGCTTTTGTGGGGAATCCTGATAGAAGTTATGCTTCTTGTTGCATATTGTCAAAAGAAAAGATAATAGCAGACTTGTGCTCCAGAGAGAGCAAGGCTGTACTAGATTTTCAGAATGGCAGACATAAAACTAAAGGCCTGACTGCAAAGAAAATGATTGGCAAAGTACTTTTCATAAATAGTTTAAAAAGGTTTATTGTTATTTTTAAGGGTCAAGAAAAGGATCTTTACCAGCTGTAAAGGTGCGATCTGATTAGTTTTTGCAGCAGAGCTTGTAAAAATGATACCATTTGATGCACAGCCTTTGGTAAAATAATTCTGTCTCAGTTCAGGCCTTTACAGGGTTTTCATGTTGTACATAATTCTAGTACTTCAAAATCCCTTGCAACTTAATGAACACAAAATGCTGCTCAAATTGATGAGGTGAGTCTTTGGCTTTGTGAAAAGCTGTCCCCTGCAGAAAACTGCCTTCAGACATTTCCTGCTTTGTTTTTGTTTCAGGTTTGTAGCACGGGATCATCCATCAGCAGGACGCAGCAGCCACAGCCCCGCCGTCATGTCCAAGTCAAAGAGCTCCGAGTCCGTGCGGGTGGTCGTGCGCTGCCGGCCCATGAACAGCAAAGAGCAAACTGCTTCCTATGAAAAAGTTGTCAATGTGGATGTCAAGTTAGGGCAGGTCTCAGTGAAGAATCCACGGGGATCATCTCATGAGCTGCCTAAAACGTTCACCTTTGATGCTGTGTATGACTGGAATTCCAAACAGGTCGAACTCTACGATGAGACCTTCAGACCTCTCGTGGACTCTGTTCTGCAAGGGTTTAATGGGACAATCTTTGCCTATGGGCAGACTGGGACAGGGAAAACATATACGATGGAAGGGGTACGTGGTGATCCCGAAAAAAGAGGGGTCATCCCCAATTCATTCGACCACATCTTCACCCACATCTCTAGATCTCAAAATCAGCAATACTTAGTTAGAGCGTCTTATTTGGAAATATACCAAGAAGAAATCAGAGACTTGTTATCAAAGGATCAGTCCAAGCGGCTGGAGTTGAAGGAGAGACCAGACACAGGGGTTTTTGTTAAGGATTTGACCACCATTGTTACAAAAAGTGTCAAAGAGATAGAGCACATCATGAATTTGGGAAACCAGAACCGCTCCGTTGGTGCCACCAACATGAACGAGCACAGCTCTCGATCTCACGCCATTTTCCAGATCACTATCGAGTGCAGCGAGTTGGGACTGGATGGAGAGAACCACATCCGTGTTGGGAAGCTCAACCTGGTCGACCTGGCAGGCAGCGAGCGGCAAGCAAAGACTGGAGCACAGGGGGAAAGGCTGAAGGAAGCCACAAAAATCAATCTGTCCCTCTCAGCTTTGGGCAATGTTATCTCTGCCCTGGTTGATGGCAAAAGCACGCACATACCCTACCGGGACTCCAAGCTGACCAGGCTACTTCAGGACTCATTAGGTGGCAATGCCAAAACTGTGATGGTGGCCAATATAGGCCCTGCTTCTTACAATGTAGAGGAGACCCTGACCACACTGAGATATGCCAACCGTGCCAAAAACATCAAGAACAAGCCACAAGTGAATGAGGATCCTAAGGAGGCTCTGCTGCGGGAATTCCAAGAAGAGATTGCTCGACTCAAGGCACAGTTGGAAAAACGGTCTATTGGCAAAAGAAAGAGGAGGGAAAGGAGGAGGGAGGGTGGGGAAGAGGAGGAGGATACTGAAGAGGGTGAGGATGAAGGAGATGACAAAGATGACTATTGGAGGGAGCAACAAGAAAAGCTGGAGATTGAGAAGAAAGCTATAGTCGAGGATCACAGCTTGGTAGCAGAAGAAAAGATGAGGCTGCTGAAAGAGAAGGAGAAGAAAATGGAGGACCTGAAGCGAGAGAAAGAAGCAACAGAGATGCTGAGTGCTAAAATCAAGGTAGAATTCTTCCTCGTCATACCCTTTGAAAGCAATTTCCTTAGGCTGTGGGGAAAATAAAGGGTTTCCCATTTTGGAAAGATATTTCATAGAAAGTTTCCAGGATAGTGATTTGTGTTTAGGTTGGAAGATTTTGAAATAAACCATTTCTAGCCAGAAGTTGAAATTTCCACCATTAATCACATATTTCAATATTCATGAGTTGTTTCATTGTTCTTATGTGCTGATCTTAAGCAGTTGGCACAGTAAAAGACAACACATCTTTTCACAAGCTGTGGAAGTAAAAATGTTTCCTTCTGTCACAGATCATTAACTGTCAGAATCTGTAGGTATTGATGATTCCGAGATTGTAGAAAGTCTCTGTCTTTCTGCCCCGTTGCCAAAGAAGAAGCCATAATTCGTCTGTGCTGTTTTCAAGGTTGTTTATTCTTGCTTATCTCTAACATGTTAACAAGTTATTTACAGGAGAGCACACATTTTGGTTCTCCTGCTTTGCCACACATTGCAGTGGTGTGTTATTCTAAACAAGTAACTGTTGCATTAATTCCACAGTTTTATAGGAATTTTAAGAAAAAGTGATTCCTGTAGCAGCTGCCTGGAAAGAGAAGGTTAAATAAGGGAGCTGCCCTGAAGCCGTTGTATCCATAGGAGAGAAAGTTACCCCTCTGAGTAGTTACTGAGACAAACTTCTGACCCTGGTTTTTCTTTTCAGACAATGGAAAGCAAGCTACTGGTGGGAGGGAAAAATATTGTGGATCACACAAATGAACAGCAGAAAATCCTGGAACAGAAACGACAGGAAATTGCAGAACAGGTACAAGGGAGGATATTTGTTACTTTATATAAAAAGCCTTGCTCCTGAACTTCTGTAAAACATTGTGTCAGGGAAATTACCAGAAAGTTTTCCCAGGGTAACCCAAAAATTGGTTTAATGGCAATCATTTATTGAAAAGAAGGGGGAAGGGCTTGTGTCATATTTGTCCTTATTTGAAATATGTAAAGAAGGTTTTTAAAAGTTTTCTTGCAGTTCTTCATGGTAAAGATTTACCTTCTATCTTGATTGGAGTTCTTTGTAAGTGAAGAAATGTTTCTAAGACCTCTAAGAGTACCAGTTCAGCCTTTAGCTCAAGGGAGAGGTCTTTATTCTGTACTAAAAGTTTATTTTTTGTTATGCAAATTCTGTTGGTGATTCTTAAATGTAATAACCAGTACAAACTGATAAAAAGGAAAGAAAAAATTTCTAAAAATGACATTTGATTCCTTTAGTTGAAGCTTGAGCCTTGTTCACACTACTGGATTTTAACGGCAAAATAAGGACAAATAAGATGTCTCTGGTGTTTCTATGGCAAGAGATATGAAGAACTGGAAGGCAGAACTGGAAGGAAACCCATCCTGAGCATTGTTTTCATGTGTTGACAAGGTAATGGAGGTCTTTAATGCCATATTTTCACATTCTTCAGAAACGTCGGGAGCGAGAAATCCAGCAACAGATGGAAAGTCAGGATGAGGAAACACTAGAACTGAAGGAGACCTACAGTTCTCTTCAGCAAGAGGTGGACATAAAGACCAAAAAACTCAAAAAGGTAAATAGAAAATGATTCCCTGTCTACTAGGCTGGGAATAAAATCAGCTTGTGTGTGAAAGTGAGAGGAGCTTTGGCAAGTGATGGATTTTGGCTCTTGTTGTGTGTTCCAGTTATTTTCCAAGCTGCAAGCTGTGAAGGCAGAGATCCATGATCTCCAAGAAGAGCACATCAAGGGGCGCCAGGAAATGGAGCAGACCCAGAATGAACTCACCAGGGAACTAAAGCTAAAGTAAGCCCCATCACTTAAGTAAAGTAAGCTATTAACTGTAACAGAGAGGGTTTCTCAGGGCAGGAGTGGAGGGACTGCCTTGCACATACTTGTGGAATTAGAATTAACCATGAGAAAACAAAACCATTCCTCCTTTTCCAGGGTTGTATTACATCAGTGGGAGAGGAGCAGTGAGGAAAGTCATTGCTAATTATGTTTCTTGTATATTTCTCTTTTTTGTTGGTTGCATGTAGGCACCTGATTATTGAAAACTTTATTCCCTTGGAAGAAAAGAATAAGATCATGAACAGATCATTCCTTGATGAAGAGGAAGACAACTGGAAACTACATCCCATAACCCGTCTGGAGTGAGTGTACTTCTGCTCTTGGGGTGGAATTACAGGTCACAGGAAACCCTCTAGCTGTCAAGAACAAAAGAGGGATTGAACTGGCGATTTAAACTGACCCTCTAGAGTTCACAGCTTCTTGATGTGTAATAAAATAAAACAAATCAATTTATTCCTCTTAATAGGTGCTATAAAATATGAATGTACAGTTAGAAGAATTCTTGAGAGATTATGATTTTTCTAATAGACAAACCCAATAATTTTATGTAAAATATATATAATAGTGCATTCACCCTTAAAATAGCAGTGCATTCCTGTCATACTTCTTTCCTGCTCCTATAAATGCAGCCTGTGTAGTTTCTGCTACGTTGAAACAGATTTCTGCATGGAATTTGCAGATGTTGTAGCTCATAAACTCCAAGAGGAGCCTTTGGTTTTAGGGTATTACAGCCTGAGTCTGTTTTTTCTAGTAACCAGCAGATGATGAAAAGACCAGTATCTGCTGTGGGGTACAAAAGGCCCCTGAGCCAGCACGCCAGGACGTCCATGATGAATCACACAGCAGCTCGGTACAGGGTAAGCCCAGATTTGGTTGAACCTTTGCCTCTTTACCCTGTGATCAGGGGATTGTGAATTCCAGAGGGGATTGTGTGTTCTTCTTTGACATGTAAATTTTTAGTGTCCTGCATACATTTATAAAATACTTCAGATTAAGTTTCTGGAGGGCAAAGTAAAAGTTTGTGTGAAAATATGGAGACTTTGATTCTGCTTTTCCTGTCTCAGGCAGAGAACATCGTGTTACTGGAAATGGACGTGCCCAGCCGGACGACGAGGAACTATGAAGGTCCAGCCATCGCTCCCAAGGTTCAGGCAGCTCTGGAAGCAGCTCTGCAGGATGAAGATGAGATCCAAGTGGATGCCTCAACATTTGAGAGCTCTTCAAATAAAAAATCAAAACCCAGGTGAGTTGGACTTTCCCTGAGCAGACTGGCCCACAGGAGAGGTGCAAGTACAGTTGGCTGTCGGTCAGCACTTCTCATCAGTGAAGTAAAGCTGAGCTTCATGGTAAAGCAGAGAGAAAAAGGAACATAGAATCATTAAGGTTGGAAAAGACCTTTAAGTTTTTAGTCCAACCTCCAACTGCATCCCACCATGCTACTAAACCTTATCTTGAAGTGCTACATCTACTCATTTTTTGAATACTGCAGGGGATGGAGATTCCACCCCTGCCTTGAGCAGCCTGGTCCAGGGCTCAACCACGCTTGCAGTGAAGAAATTTTACCTAATATCCAGCCTCAACCTCCCCTTGTAGAACTTGAGGCTGTTTAACCTTGGCCTGTCACTAGCTGCTTGGAAGGAGAGGCCAGCCCCTACCTCACCACAACCTTCTTTCAGGGTGTAGGACATAGGACAAAAGAAGAAACTGAAACTGTTTATTAGAGAATAACTCCAGTTTAAAAAAATCAGCTTTTTGCAGATTAATTTTGGAAAGTAACAGGTGACATTGTTAGAGCTTCTCTTGTTCATATTTTAATTTTTCCTTCTTCAGACCGAAAACTGGAAGGAAATCGGTGGGATCCGCATCGGGATCAGGCACTCCCACTTCTCAGCTCTACCCACAGTCACGAGGGCTGGTTCCAAAATAAAACCAGCAACGGCTCTCCAGGGAGGGAACAGCCTTTACCTTCTGGGAGCAGAGACAAGGACAAACCTGCAGAGAGAGCTCCTGGCCAGCCTCCAGCCCCTTTCCCTGGAGATGGCCTTGTTGCTGTTTAACTGACTCGGGCCAGTCCAGGGGCACTGAGCCATGGGAAGATCCGTGCTTGCAATTCAGCATTTGGCCTCTGTGGGAAATGGATTTTAGTTAGGAAATCAAAAATGCATGAGGTACGTTACAGTGTGTTAGGAGCAGTGGGAAGCATGGGGAATCACCTCACAGCGTCACCGTCCTCCTCCTGCACCAGCCCTTCTGCTGCACAGCACGTTTTGCCTGTTGGGCACTAAGAAGACAGAGCTGAATGTCATCTCCACAGAACCACCACTCTGCAGCTCCACAGTGAGAACCAAAAGAGGCTAAAAAGCAGAGGATCTGTTCAAACTCGACAAGGTGCATGGTTCTTCCTCTTCCTGCTTGAGACACTGGCATCACCACGTGGGGTTCAGGCATTGGTCTGAACAGGATGGCAGTGGCCAGCGTGTCTTCACCACCACACAGCTGTGCCTCCCCAAGGGCTGTAGGACAGAAAAGGGTCTCAAAACAACTATGTGGTCTCTAGAAAGGAAGCAGTAGAATCTGAAGTCCTTTCTTTGTTTACAGGCATAAGTGAGAGCTCCTCTAAGCTGACCTACAGACCTCCCCCCTACCAACAGGAACCACCTTGTCAAAGAACACCTCTGCATGCCAGTGTTGGCTCCACAGCTTTCCTCCTCTCTCTTGCCTCCATCTTTACCCCTGGTATTTAAAACCAGTGTCCATATGACATCTTTAATGGCATTTGGCCATTTTTCTCATGCCTCCCACTGTTGATGGAAAACGTAGCATTGGCTCAGAGCTCTCCCTGCCAGGCTCAGACTCTCAGCTGGGCAGAGCACTGGAACTTGGAGCTGCCTTTGAGTGCACTCCTGGGAATTTGGTCTCTTCCCTTGGTGTCTAAGGAGGTTTAGCATTCAGTGCCTCTTGTGCCTCATCTGTTCCATGTTAAGCAGCTTTCTCTCTGCACCTCCCAGCCCACTCAGAGCCTGCTGGGGGTGAACCCGTCCTAATTGAGGCTGGTGATGGAAGCTGGTGTTAATTCCGGGGGTTTTACTTTGAAAACAAGGGAGGGAGAACTCCTGCTTTCAACAGTCTCATTGCAAAGCTGCCCTATGACTAAAGCAGGCTCGTGTAGCAGGGCAGAGGGAGGTGGAACTCCACGCTAAGGACAGAATAAGGTGTCCCAGTCTAGTGTCCCACAGCTCATCCGTAAGTTTTAGTTCACTGTATATGGAGACTTGGGATGTTACTTTTTCTGGTTGCTCTTGGCTGTCATCCTGTGAACATTTTTACCTGTTTTCCCTCACTGAGGACTCCCTCCAGACTGGCATGTGTGAGTGTGTGAGGACTTGCCTGGTTGTAGACATGCTCTGATGTGTGGACTCTGCCTTGTGCTCATGAAGTGTCCATGGAGTGACTTCACCCAGGCTGAAGAGCTCCTTTCTACTGACCCCCGAGCAGGAGGAGCTGAGTGCTCAGCACAGCTCACCTGTGCATCCTGCAGGCACGGTGCCCAGGTGAGCCAGGTGGGCCCCTTAAACACCAACGTGGCTGCTGCATTCCACGGACTGCTTTCCTGGGCCACAAGGTTAAAATATGTATACACGTATATGCACACATACATATATATAATAGTTTTGGTGGAGGAAGGAGGGATTTACTTATAACTGAGAGAGCAGGCACATGACCAATTCCTTTCAACCGGAACATGGAAACCCAGCATAATCTTTGTTTTCACAAAGCACTGTTTATATCCAGAGAGCCTTTTAACTGGCTTTTGTTGCATAGTATAACATCACTTTCTCTTCCCTCTCTTCCTTCTTTCTCTCCAGCACATAATCTTCTGTACTAGGATATTTTAAAAGATGATTGTATGGTTTAAGTGCTCAGAGAATTGAAATTAATGGGGGAGGAAGTTTAAAACCCTGAGACAGCAGCACAATATGTAACCACGCGTTTGTACATACCTATGTACACATGTTTTATGTGAATAATGCATACACAAACACATCTGTGTCCGCACATGTGCACACTTTTCCTCAGTTGCTACTATTCCATAGGGACTTCTATTCTATATTAAACTCATATGCTGGAAACTGCCTTCGTGGCAGGGCTGGTACCATGGAGCTCTGCAGTGCAAACCTGTTTTCATGTTGATGAGCTAGTGTCAGAAAGGCTCTTCTTTTAACTCTGTAGAAATTCATTAGCAAGGTGAAAGAAACTCAGTAGAGTGGAAAAGAATAAATCTGCATATTTAGTCATTGTATGTAAATTGGGGCTTCGGTGGAGATTTGGTCAATGTATTCATGGGCAATCTCGGCCTGTTACAGAAGCCTTTGGATTCTCATTCCAAAGGACTTAACCCTCACCAGATGCTCAGTGGCACTGATATTAAGATACATTGTCTTAAGCTGTACAAAACATACTGAGCTCTGGGTTGAAGCTTTTAAGAAACATTCCTGCCAAGTTTGCCCTTCTTTGGTGTTATCTGAACCATCTGGGCTTCCTGCTGGTTAACCAAAGGCAGGAAATCCAGCTGGACTCCTGGAAGAGGCCCTGGGACCGCCTTGCACCATCACCTTTTCTTCATAGGAATGTTTAACATTCAACATAATTGTCTTTGCTCTGATCTGTATAATGGAATATTTTTTTTTTTAAAAAGTGGCATGGAGCAGGAGTCAGCCGTGGGAGCAAGCGCCACCAGGCACTGAAGCATAGGAATTAAAGCACTTTCTTAAATCCTTAACTTAGGTCTAGCGCCTTTTTAAAAACATTTGCATGCTGCTTGAATCTTCTAAAACACATACCTCTGCCAGAGCACCTGGGGCTGCGCCGGTGCCTTATACAGATCAGAGCAGGCAGTGTTCAGTCAGTTTGAGGTGTGTGAGTCTGGCCTCGCTCAGCACGCAGCGCTGGAGTTCCAGTGAAACACCTGTGTACCTGGACCTGTCCTCTCTCCTGTCTGTGCTGGGCAACGTGCACCAGTCTTTAAATGGTTCAGTGGAATTCCTGGGGGTCTGTTCCTGCTGTGTTCAAACACAGACTGGAAAAGAGAACCTGCAAAAGCCATAATTAGCTACAGAGACGGAACTGAAATGAGAACACTGGTGCTGCCTGCTGCACTGTGCAGTGGGGGGTTGACTTGCTGGGATCCAGGTGCTTACTGCCTTCTCCAGGCTTTTGAAGAGGTGACCCAGGATCCTTCTATGGGCACAGCTGTCGATGACAACTCTCAGCTCCTTGGAGAGATGCCCACCTCCGCCTTCTCTTAGGTGATCTGTAGAAAAAGAATCTGTCCATAGTTCTGTCCATAGTTTTACAGCTTATATTTATTTGTATCATCTCTTTTGTCTAGGAATGTAAAGTGATCCTAAAATACAATGTGTAATAAAGTCAATAAGATTTATTGCATCTATCAAAACATGTGTTTTTCATTGTTATTTTGGGGTGGGACTCAGTGACTTCATGTTTTACAAAGCCTCGCATTATTTTTCTTTCATAAAAAAAAAGTCTGCACAAAGTAAGTTGAAAAAATGTAATCATGAGTAGAACCACATTGAGTATTGTAGTGTGTGTGTATACAAGATGCTGATGCCTGCAAGTGGCACCTTGGGAACGAGAAGTGCTGGTGAAACCCTGCCAGAATCCCAGTCCAGGGTGTGCCCCTGACCTCGGTTTTATCTTGCTTGTAACTGCAATGGGTGGTGCTGATTTAAACCAGCCTTTTATTGGTGCCGTGGGAACAAGGAGCCTTGTAGTATAACCACGGTGTCCAGGGAAGGGAAACGAAGGTGGGGAAGAGTCTGTAGCACATGTCCTATGAGGAGCGGCTGAAGGAGCCGGGAGTGTTTACCCTGGAGAAGGAGGCTCCAGGGTGACCTTAGCACTCCACCTCTGTGAAAGGAGACTGTGAAAGGAGCCAGATGGGAGTCCGATTCTTCTGCCAAACAGCGGACAAGAGAACACAGTGTTCAACTGTGCCCGGGGAGGTTTAGTTTGGACATCAGGAAGAATTTAACAGGAAGGGTCATTAGGTATTGGAAGGCGCTGCCCAGGGAGGCGGTGGAGTCACCGTCCCGGGAGGTGTTTAAGGAAAGACTGGACGTGGCCCTCAGCGCCCTGGTCTGGGGGACGTGGTGGTGTTGGGTCACCAGCAGTGATCTCAGAGGTCTTTTCCAGCCTAATTGATTCTGTGATAGCCGGCATGCTGGAACACCAAAAGCCGCAGCCCTCAGCCCCAGCTCGGTCCCTCAGCCGCCCCCGGCCCGGGCGGTGCCACTTCCCCACCGCGGCCATGCGGCGGCGGCGGCCTCTCCCGCCATGCGGCGCGGCGGCCGGCGGGACTTGTAGTCCGCGGGCTACAGCGGTGCTACGCTGGAGCTACGCAAGAAAACTACAACTCCCGGCGGTCCTTGCGGTTTGTTTTCCTTCAAACCAGCCCCAGGCCCGCCCCTCCAGCCCCTCCCCTCCGGTCCCTCCGTGTCCCGCCGCGGCCACCGTCGCCGGGCCCCGCCGCCCCGCCCCGCTCCCGGCCCTTTGACCCCGTTGTTATGCCGGGCCCGAGCCGCCGCCGCCGCCGCCGTCTCCCGTAGCGCCCGGAGCCGCCCCCGCCTCGCGCCCCGCCCGCCACGCCCGCCGCGCCCACCCCGCCCCGGTCGCCGCCGCCCGCCTGCCGCCCGCGCGCCCAACGGTCCGCGCCCAACGGTCCGCGCCCGCCCGCGCGGGAGGAGGAGGAGGAGGAGGAGGATGAAGGAGATGAAGCAGAGGAGGAAGAAGGAGCGCACGTGGGCCGAGGCCGCCCGCCTGGTGAGGCCGGGGGGGCGTCCAGGGAGGGGGCGCGGAGGCCCCACTGTGCCCCGGGGCCTCCCCGCCGCGTCCGGCCCCTCCCCAAGTAACGGGGCCGGCGGCGCCGCCATCGCTCGTGAGGGGCTAAGAGCGGGGACCGGGCCCGCCTGCAGGGCGTGGGCCGTGTTGCCGGTTCCCCGCCCGGTCCCGCGCCTTCCCGCGGCTCCCCCACCGGCCGCTGTGGCCGGGGTGTCCTGCGCGGTTGTTTTCCTCCCTCAGCCCGGTGGGAACGAGCGCGGCCCCCGGCCCCCGGTGGCGAGCTGCCCGCCGGGCGGGGCTGCAGCGGCTCCCGGGATGGGACGCGGGAGGTGCCGGCCCGCAGCGGTTCCCTGCGTGCCGGGCAGGCTGCGGGTTCCGCTCATTCTCTGCCTTTCAGATGGTTTTAAAGCTCCGTGGGAGGAACGGGAGCCTCCGGAGAGGGCACGGCCGCTGTCAAAAGTTTCTGGTTTAATTACCGAGGGTGCGGGGTCTTTCTGTGCCGGTGGCGTGTGCTGGGCTGCTGCAGCAGCAGCTGGACTGAACATCCCTGAATCAGCCTATATTTGGTCACTTTCGGGTTTAGGAGACGTGGCCATGGAGATGTCTCAGTCCTTTTGTCTTAAAGAATCTCCTTGTTGAAGGCTTCAACTTCCAAGCCCAGCTCTGCTCTGGTGGTGTCTGTGGGAATGCCACTGTCATTGGACTGTTGCAGTGGGAGGAAGGTGACTTCCCTCTGTGAAGCCTTGGAGCCGGTTGTGTCTTGAACCTCAGTTATGAAGTAGGAAATCTGAAAAAGAAAAATAACTTCAGTTTCTTTCAGTGAGCCAGTCAGAGGTTTGATTTAAGGGCTGCATGCCGAGGTGTCTAGGCTGGCTGGGTGGTGTTTGGGTGGAAGGAGCTGGCTCTCTCCTGGTGACCTAGTGACACAGGTACAGCAGTGCCAGGGATGGAGTGAGGGATGATCCAGCTACTTGGATGTGAATGGATCCCACGGTTCCTCCCCGTAGCCCTGTCAGTGGTGTACAGCTCATGAAGATACATGTGCTCCTTCTATGTAGCCCTTGGACTTCTGCAGAAATTGATTTATAGAGCTTGAGGGTGGATTGTTTCCTTGTTTTTTTCTGTTGTAGGTGTTTGTTTTGGTTTTGCCAGCCAGGTTATGTATTGAAGCATGTAAACATTCAGAAGGAGCAGTGTGGCTGAGTCCAGTGAGGCTCATGTCTAGTACTGAGGATGTTCAGGATAACTCTTGGTGCTTCTAAGTAAGATTTTTTTGGCTATTGGAGTGTTTTCTTACTGCTTGCCAGGAGAAAACCTAATCAGACAAGCATCTGACTTCCAGCAGCTTGCATCATCTTTTGTGTGTAAATGATAATACTTTAGACTCATACGGCTTTGCTTGAAAAACTGGAGGAGGGCATAAGGCAACTACTGTGGAACTTCACAGTAGGAGCCTGGTGGTCTCTTTCTCCATCCTACATTTCTTCTTGGGATCCAGGTTCTTTGAACCAGGTGTGTCACTGCAGATGGCAGGGATGCTTTCCTGGCAGGTGATCCTGGGGGCAGAGGCTGTGTTATGTGACCTTGCACAAAGTCAGCTCACTGAAACCTCCCGAGCCCTGACAGGTGAAAAAAAAATCAGTATTTATAGGCTGCCTAAAGCAGCACATGAGACTGTAAGTCTGAAGCAGTCACCTAATACATCTCCTCACCCTTGTGTGATGGGGAAGGCATTTCTTCACACAGTCCCTCTCACCTGTCTTCTGGCCAGGACCTTGGGCACTGTGGGTGCATGAGATGTCTGAGCCTCAACAGCATCTTAGAGCCATTGATGAACCAGAAATAGAACGATCTCATACTAGATTATCCACTTAAAGAGACCTACAGTTGTGTAGCTGCACTCCAGCTTGCAGGACTGATTGTAAATCCACTAAAAATAGAACTTTATTTCACACTAGGCTTACACATGCTCCCTGTTAAATGCTTTTAATTTCCCTCTCTGACGTGTGCTGGTGTATTTTGTATTCTGCTCAACATTTCTGAGAATCACAGGCAAAAATGTTCTTCAGTGTTGCTCCTCCTACAGAGCCAAAACTCTGCACGTTCCATAAAATAAACTTCAAAGATTAATCTGGATGCCCAAAGCCATGGCAGGATCCCAAAAGTGCTGTCAGAGCTAGATGACCAGTAAATTGAGGAAGTGATATAAACTTCCATCATTAGGGGCATAGGAACCTTCAGCTACCACTGCTATAAATAGTGGAGGGGGAAAATTCTGTTTTGGGGTAAGGTATAGCCAGGATTGAAGTTGTAGCTCTGGGTGGAAGGCTGATGTGGTGCTGGGAGTGTCAGGTTGGAGAGGGATAGAAGGCACAGTGCTGGAGACTGGGATTTGGTGTCTAAAGCTTGCAGGATCCTCTCCTCCAGTTCTTCCATTAAGTGCTCTGTATACTTAATATACAGCTCTTGATTGGAAATTGTTCCCCTGAGCATAGATTCTTTTATCTGTATGTAAATGCTCCTTTGTGCTCAGTTTTAGGCCACATACTTCACTTGCTGTGTCTGTCACTGGAGAGAGGTTTGAATAATTCCCTGATTTTTTTGGAACAGATATGTTGTATTTTGCAGATCTCACTGGCTCAGGAGCAATGAGTTTCCCCGTGTCAGCTGTCTGCAGCCTTTGAGTGATGGGGTGACAGCTCAGGAGGGAGACATGGAGACCTTGTAACCTGTGGAGGGAGGAAAAAGTGTGATGGAGCTGTTTGGAATTTAATTAGTTTACTCTCTCTGAATATGGCTCATCACTTGCTTTGATTTTTCTTTACACTCTTTGTGTTTTCATTGGGTTTTAACTCAAGTTAATTCTCTAATTCTCTTCCCCATGAGATTCTTACCTCATTCTCAGAAGCTTGTGAGCTTCAGGCATCTGCAGAATACCTGTTGGGTGGATATGATTTGAGAAATTCCATTTATAGAATCAAGGTTTAGATTGGAAGGACCTTTAAAGATCATCTTGTTCCACCCCCTGCCACAGGCAGGGACAATTTCCACTAGTCCAGGCTGCTCCAAGCCCCATCCAGCTCAGCCATATCACAAGACACAAGACAAGTTGAAGTGCAGAACTGCATTTGGGTTTTTCGTTACTTGTAGAGGGTGGAGATGGTCTGGGGTGTAAACGTTGGCCTGCACAACTTTGGGGTGGTTTTGCTCATGTCCCATTGGCATGGCTGCTGCAGTGACTCATTTCTAGATGTTACTGATAAGAAACGGGGCATCTAGGTCCTTCCTCTGGCTTCCCACACGAGTCAGACTGAGAGACAGCACCGGGTTGCTGACTCCTAAAACGTGGGGACAAATGACACCAGGGCTGTACATTGTGTGGCCATGATGCTGGGGGAATTCAGAGCATGGTTATGATCAGAAAGTTCCTGAGTGAATTCCTGTTGCTGTTTTCCATGTCTGTTCCAGGCTATGGCCTGTGCCTGTCTCTTTGCTCGTGGCCCCAGGTCTGTGGAGCTGGGTGCCTTTGCATTCCAAGAGCAGCACTGTCTGCTGCCGGGGCAGGCGCAGGAGCCGGCGCGTGGTCAGCAGCTGTAG